CTGCTGGGTCGATAGTTACACCACTGCTTTGAGCAACAATAAAATAAAAAATTTTATCTGAAAAGTAAATAGTTGTTAAATAAATGTAGTGATGTAAAAAGTACAGTATTTCCTTCTATGAAGTAGTAGAAAATGGAAATGCTCAAGTACGTGTAGCCCAGAATTGTACAGTACTACAGTAGTTGAGTAAATATACTTAGTTACATTCATCACTGAATAAATGTGCTGTTTTAAGGGTCATCATTTTCAGCTGTGTCATTTGTACTTGTTGCCATTTTTCAGTTGCTGTTTTTTCTGAATGTATCAAGGTACAGTAACTGTCTAGGAAAATAACATCCCTGCAGGGCAGCCGGTTCACAGCCGAGTGCCGACAATCAGCCACTGTTAAGCTGTTTAACGCCATGTAACAGGACCTCCTTCTCATTTTTTCATCCCTCTGTCCTCCCAGACTCTTCCAGAGGAGAGAAGAAGGAGAGCAAATGTCCAACGCCGGGCTGTGATGGGACGGGTCATGTGACCGGTCTGTACCCGCACCACCGCAGCCTGTCCGGGTGTCCCCACAAAGACAGAGTCCCACCTGAGAGTAGGTTCCTCTGCCTGCGTGTTCTGCTGCACTGAAAACACACCCATCTTTAAAAAAAAACAAACAAACAAGTAATGCTAATCTGACAAGTCATATCAGCCAGCACAGTACTTCAAACTGATGTTGTAGGTTTTGGTTTTAATTGTACAATCATCTCTCAGAGGTCAAGCTGCTGTGGAGGCAGAAATCATCTAATTGATCAAGTCTCATGTGGGGGAAAATTAAACATCAAGCTTTAGGGCAGAATTTGATTGTTCTTCAGAAACTAGCTAGGTTATTCAGCTTAGACACCTTAGTACGGCTAGTTACCTTTTCCTGTAGTTCTTTCTCTTTCATTTGCCATCTTACTAGTTATATTTCTGGGTTGGAGATATGAGCATTTTTAGCTTCATCTCTCCCATTTGGACAAAGCCACCACAACGTTGTCAGTACACCAGTGGCACAATGTCTATGAACTCGCCAGAGCCAGCAGTTACACCAAAATTAAATCCATTATTACTATTTTAACTCTAATTCTGTTAACTGAAAAGAGCTACACATCGTTCATTTATATCTAGTTTGACTAACAAACAGCAGCAAGAAAGCATGATAAAAAATTTATCTGGTGTGACTACAAGGCTAACAAGGGAGATAACTGCTCTATCTTTTGTGAGCACTCAAATGGATAAAAACAAAGAAGCCAGACACTGATTTCCACTATAGCTCTCTAACATCGACATTAGTCAACCTGCAAATTTGTAGTTCTTTAGCTTCGACTGCTCAGGTTTTAATCAGTCAGATTATTTCATCTTCTGAGAAATGGTTGTAGATCTGAAACCATAGTCTTTCTTTATTCTCCTCAAATCAAATGAAAACCAGAGCGGCCCACAAGCTAATAAATATCTCATCTGAGTATTTGGAGGTAACTGGCAATTTGGACACCAGCATGTTGTCCACAGAAAAAGCTAATTGCTGCGAACACTGGACCGTTTCTGTCCACTTCATGATCCAGAACTTACTTACTTGCTTTATTTATAGGTCAAACCAAAAGTAACAGGCAGATGTTTTTGGAGATTGAAGCATATGAGATGAATCCAGATGTAAAATGACTTGTTAGATGGACTGTGTAGCAGTGACAGCTGGACCATGTTGAGCATGTTAGCCATCCACCATCATGCATCTGTCCTGCATGACTTTTGTGTTTTGTTGTGCTGGATTTGACTTGGTTTTAAGGGCTGGTGGAGATGACTGGTTCCTCTTCATGTATAAACAAATGAATTACAATTTTATGAGGCAGAATTTAATGGCCAACTTGTGAGAGAGTATATTCAGACGACTGGCATGTTTAACATCTTTGTAATCTTTAGAGGAGTAAAACTAAACCCTGACAAAGTAGCTCTAAAACATTATCAAGATGTAGAGTTTTAAAGAGCATAGCAACTTAAAATCAGACATTTATAAATTTTATTTCTGTCTAGTGCAAATCAACTTGTCTTTTAGTGCAGAAAAGCTCATTAAGGTTGGTCATCTTTTGTTTACTGTGGCACAACAGAAAGTGTATGGGCATTTCATTTGGCCTTAGTTTGTGTGTCCTGCTTTACTTTCTTTTCTTCCTCTTCATCCCACCTGCCTGATGTCTGGTTTTGGTGTCTGTGTTGCTGATGTAACATGAACAGCATGAAGAATCAGTGTGGTCCACCTGCTGGCTGCAAAAACTCACAAAACAACCTGCATGAGAACAGCTCAGAGCATCCGAGCCTGTTTTAATCACGCACACTAAACTTACAGGTAATAGATATGTTACGTGTTATTTAAGATAAGCCTTATTTTACCTCAGTGGGTTAGTAGTAGTGTCGCAATATAAAGAAAAACAGAATGGAATTCAAATGATGAGTAATGTGAACAGATGTTGTCATACAGTATTTATATGTAACTAAAAGTATCAGTTATTTATTCTTTACTTCTGTTCCTATGTCAAATACTAAAGCTTAGTTAAATGTTTAACAGTTTTTCACATCCAACGCTCACTTTTGCAATGATTTCATTATAGTGGGAGTGATTTTAAATGGAGCATATTAATGAAAACAATTTGATAAATAGTACATTATGGATTGCTTATATATATATATGACATGTAAATATTAAAACATCAATATTCTGAAAACAGCAATATTCTGTAGTCTGCAATACCAGAAATAATTGTAATAATCAGTATTAAGAAATCATTTCAGGGTAGAGTAATATAAGTAAAAATTACTGCACAACTTGTCAATATATGCACATTACATTGTACCTTCGTTGTACTACAGTATTTAGTCCTTCTGATGCAAAATCATAAACCATGTGTTTCCTTTTCCATCTGCAGTGCCATCAGCAGATTTTAACAGTGCATGACAAACTTTTGTTCCGAGTTTATTTTTGTCTCATGAAATTTCATGAAGTGAGCAGAGTGATTAAAATGGAAAAGATAATTTTGTATCCTGGCAGCAGGACACATTACATGAAGCAGACAAGAGTAGAAACAGGAAGTAGTTTGTTTTGGATTAAATCATTTTTGCGACAGGTGACAAAAACTGGGAGGGGAGGGATTCTTCCTTGATTATCTGTAACCAAAACCAGTTGTCACTATAGCAAACTGTAGTTTTAGGGAACCAACAGGTGACTGTGTGCTACCACTGTTGTTGACACAGTCCTTTCATTATAGTTTGTGCTCATTTTGTGAAATTTCCTGGTTTTGTTTTTGTGTCATTCTTGCAGCTGAAATTTGTGCATTCCTAACTGTCATAGCTCAACACCCAGTAACTCTCCTTTCTGCTCGTAACCCTTGCTGTCTTTCTCACCTTTTCCTGTCTGCCAAAGTCCTTGCCATGTACGAAAATGTTTTAAAGTGCCCTACTCCTGGCTGCTCTGGACGGGGTCATGTCAATAGCAACAGGAACTCGCATCGCAGGTGAGTGAGCGGCCTTCAGTCGGGCCGCTAACAGCTGAATCACATCGCCAACATGTGAATATGGCTCAGTAACTGTACAAGTACTGAACACTTTTGTGAGGAAGATTGCTGATGATTAGCTTCACATCCCCTAACAGGTGTCAGCTGCCTATTTGTTTTCTGTTCAGTAGCCACGTCTCCAGAGGCACAAGGTCAGAGCATCCTCAGATTTGCATTGAATAGGCTCAAATTAATTTTACTGATGGACTAACTGTGAGCTGTCATATCTAAGAAGTGGCTAAGATGAAAATGAAACATTACTTGACACTGACATTCCTCAGAAAGTCTCACCTCTTTAAGGGTATGTCCAAGTCAGCTGCAGGTCTTTCAGGCTTGTCTTTCAAGGTTTTTAATAATGTTTTTATGTGCAATTGAGACTAGAGTTTGATGTGGACAAAAGCATGCACGCTGAAAAAAATGAGACAGATTGATCACAGGAAGTCTCTTGTGAATGCTGGTTTTAAGTACAACCCTCACTTTGTGAGATATGTGTTAGTCTTTGTGTTCTTTATCTGCTAATATTGCAGTTTTTGTCCAGTTAAAGGTTACTGGGAAAAGACTTACAGGTTTATCGGGGTCATATTTTATTTCAAAGAAGTAAGCCTATTTCCACCACCAACATGCAAAACTGCTGTAACATTTCCAGGTTTAGATGCATGTGGGAAAGGAGCTTAAAATTCAATTTTGCCGTGTTTGACCTGAGGGTGTTTCTGCATCACATCAGCAGCTGTTTCACGGGGAGAGCAGAGCATCACACCCAGGCAGCAAGTACACACTCACACATATTGTATTTTTGAATAATGTAAAGTGATTAGGATTCACACTCATTTTCTCACACATACGTAGAACCTCAGCTCACCAGCATACACACACTTTTATATGCACAGTCTTTACTGATACACACATCCGCTCACAGTCACAGTCAGACACTTATAAATTAGCTCACAGACAGCAGCACACGTGCGCTGGCAGACAGAGTAGCACACACGCACACACACTTGCTCAGACGTGACTGCGGGGTGTGTTATGTAGCACAGCTCCACTGGGAGAGGAAACAAAGCGCTAGCTAGCTAGCTTAGCTACCGTTAGCTACCAGCTCACACAGCTTTCATGTCTGGTAGTCGCCATGGAAACACCATCATAGCAGCAGCAGCAGCAGCATCTATGCTGATCTGTCACACACTCCTCACACACTCTCACTATCATCCTGCACAATGTGTGTGCACTGTATGTGTATTGGTAATAACAATGTTTCAGTAGACAGTGGCAGGATGTTTTAGTTTTAAATACAAAATGAGTTGGAGCCAAATTAATACCAGAAACAGATGTGAGATATTCCCACTGAGGAAATACTCATAGTTTTTAGTGCAACAAGGTTTGTGCAGTTGGTGAGTGTGAGAAGGTATGGTGGTGTGTTTGTTCTTTATTATTTATTATTATGTGTTTTTTATGACTTTATTATTGTGTGTGTATATTAGTGTGTGATTGCCACACCGAATAGATGGCTTTTTAAACTCGTTGTACTGGATACAATGACAATAAAGATATTCTATTCTATTCTATTCTATTCTAAACATGTCAGAACCTTATAAACTTTACACAAAGACATCCGTCCAGTCAACACCAAATTTACTTAGATGCTTTAGATGCTGACTGAATGTCAGCTGCTGAGGAGGAGCAGAAAGAACAGACACACCATTAAACTATTGGTCTTTCTGGTAGGAAAACATAGTTTCAGTACTAAAACCAACAGCTACATCTCAGACATATGCAGGGGGAAACATGGCTCATTCTTTTTCTACCACTTTTTAGCTTTTTGCTTTACATCTAACCCTTATTTCTGTGGAGGCTGAATGAAACCATGTCAGTTAGAACCACAGCAGCTGCTAAATGAATGTAATCTAATTTAACTGGAACATTTCAGAAATAGCAGTCTATGGAAAGTGATAGATTTGTGTGATCTGAATGGCTGCTGGTGGAGTTCAGCTTCACGGGGAATAAGGAAAATCATACCTGATAAATATACAGAGGATGTTATCTTTGGGAGTCGGTGTGTTGGTTTGTGGGACACATGACTACATACAGAGGAACAGCCCTCACAGCGTCTAACTTCCAGCTCGCAGTAAACAGACATTCAGTAAAATGGTTAACCAGTACCTAACCCGTTAGTTATATTGTAAATCAATCAGTAAGCAGTAAGAAACACTAAGCAGGTAGCCAGTCACTGAGCAGTAAATAAAGAGTACCTGCATCAGAAAGCTAGTAAAATAACCAGTTTGATCAGTACCCAGTCATTAAAGTAGAAAACTAGTCTGTTAATGAACTCATCAGTACTGTGCAGATCAGTAAACAAGTCCATAAAACAGTCAGACAGTCAGACAACTAATAAACCTGGTAGTCGGCAAACCAGTCACTAAAACTCATCTTGTAACGCAGTCTGTTACTAAACCAGTCAAACCCTCATTGTGTCAGGATGTGTCAGCAAACCAATGGAACCCTTAGCCAGTACACTGTTCAGTCTGTAAACCAGTGAAGCCACTGGCCTGTAAACCAGTCAGTCAGTAAAGCAGTCAAACCCTCTACCTGCAAACATTGTCATTCAGTAATCCCCTCAAATCTTCAGTCAGTCAACCAGTCAGTGTACTGTACTAACTGACTGGTTGACTGACTGAATAATAAACCAGTCAGTGAGTAAATCAGTCAAAACATCAGTCAGTAAACCAGTCATGCAGTCATGATAAAGTAGGACACTTTAAATCCATAATTCATTCAGTACAGTATGTAACCGATCCGTGCGCTGTCTGCCCCCCTCCACAGTCTGTCTGGCTGTCCCATCGCTGCCGCAGAGAAGATGGCGAAGGTCCACGAGAAGAGTCACTCGACTGACAGTGGCAGCAAGACCAATCAGACGTCAGACCGTGTTCTCAGGTATCAAACACAGTGAGACCAACTTTAAAATAATGTGATAATAATAATGATGATGTGTTTTGTTATGCAGTGCGATATTTATGTGATATTTTAAGGCAGGCTAAATGGTACACTGAGGTCTGAACATATTATAAACCATGTCTACCATGTCTTGTTCAATGTCATTTTGGATTTGGGAACAGTCGTAGATTATATTTGCCATTTTTCCAAAATCAGGGATACTGAATGGTGCAAGAAATCCCCACAATTGGATATCAAATATCAAAGAGTACCAAAGTATATCCTATCGGTTGTTTCCTAGGATGTGGACCAATGTTTGAATGGTTCAGTAAAATCCCACACTTTTGTTGGTGGAGAGCAACTACAGGTTTGATCAGTTTAGATAAGCTCAATTCAATTGTGTGTCTCTCTTTAATCAAAGAGATGCCAAATGGTGCAAAGAAGTCACCACTGGATAGATATAGTGTTTTCTGGGTTGTCTGGGAAGTTAAAATGTATTTTGAAAGGCTTTAACTCATGTGTGCCAGTTCAGGTTCACTGTCAGCGCAGTGTCAAATAGCGCAGTGGAAATGGTTTGCTCTCAAATAAGGGATGCCAAAGAGTTACTAAATGTTAGAACAAACAAACCAATGTAACTATTGCTGTTTGATGTCTGCTAAGATCCAGACCCATGTTTACATTTACATAGCCTATAACACAGAAAGCATGGATGCCAAATGATGCAGTAAATTGAGAAGCATACAAACAATCTCCATCTGCATTGCTGGTTGTGTTTTGCCATGCTGGTGAAATTCTTGGATGCTGAATGGTCGAATCATATTTCCAACATATTGTTGATGTAGCAGTTACCTTTACTGGTTCACCGTAGTTTTTGCTCTGGAAAATATGTATTCACCAAAGTCAGGGATGCTCAATGGTGCAGTAAAATCCCCACAGACAAACCCTCTGGTTGCCTTTCAGGCCGATGTGTTTTGTCAAGCAGCTGGAGATTCCTCAGTACGGCTATAAAAACAATGTTCCCACCAGCACGCCACGGTCCAACCTGGCCAAGGAGCTGGAGAAATACTCCAAAACCAGCTACGACTATGGTGGCTACGACGGCCAGCATGGCGGCTATGGAAAGAGAGGCCCAACAACCAAGTCCCACCATGGGCGAGACACTTCCCCGAAAGGATACGATGGTAAGGAAAATGAATGCACATCCAACAGCTAATTCTAAATCATCAGAGTCAACGTGAGATTATGTGGCTCTCACTTATTTTTGTCATTTATTTATTTATTTACTTTAGAAGCTGTAGGGTTCAGACATTTTTGTTTCTTTTTATTGGGTCCTGGAAATATGCCACAGTGGGTAGCAGCTGTACACAGATGCAGTATATACAGTAAAATACTGGAATCTGAAGAAGTGAGGGGACGGATAGTTAGAAGTACCAAGAGAAAGCATGTCCCACAACATCATTACTTATTTGAAAAATCTGTTTCATTATCCAGTTTTCTTTTTTACTTATAACAAATTATCCACCTTCTGTCAAAATAAAAACATTTTTTTCAAATTCGTGGTATTTCCATTCAGAACTCTTGTTAAAATTAAATGTAAAATTAGAAAATAGGTAGATAGTGACTTACTGTCAGTCCTTTGACTTGCTGAAGGTAATGAAACCTGAAAAATGATCCCACTATGAAGGATTTCTGTTCATTTTCCTGTTCTGGGGAGAACATTTTGTACTTGATGATAAAAGCATGTTAACGCACACACATTTTCAGTACTCAGCGTATTCTCTTTGTTATGGCACTGAAAACACCGGTGTTTTCCACCTCTCCACATGGCTGGAGTGCAAGCAGAGCAGAGTTATGGAAATGTGCAGCTAAGAGCCTGCCTCCTCTGAGCAGAGGATGAAGGGATGGAGCAAAGGAGGGAGGGAGGAGGTGCAGATGGAGGGATTGTGAAACAGGAGAGAGATAATGGAGGCGAGCCCTGTTCCTTTGGCTGGGAGCCATTAGTGAGACACAGGCAGGAGGGAGGTTTTTAGACGAGGTGTCTGCGCTCCCCACCGTCACGACTCCCTCCCTCCTCTCCACCATCCTTTCTTCATCGGCATCACTACAGCTTGCCGAGCCCAGATTAACAGTCTCACATCATACAATTGCTGTGTCTTTTTTTCTTTGATGCTACACTGATCTTCAAACCCAGTGGTTCCTACTTAAGATAAAAATCTTCATATTCAATAAACATTTGTTTAAATGGCTCAATAATCTCTGAAAGCAGCTGTAGTTTGCAAGCAAAGCTTGAACAAACAGGAGGAAACCTCTCATTTGGTGAGGACTATTTTCAGCTGCAGATTAATATACATTAAGTGAAAATTAATCATAACGATGCTTGTTTTCACTTCATTATTAACAGGGCTCTGAATAATCGGTCGCATTTTGTGACAAAATTCGTTTAAGGTGTGACTGACTTTTTTCAAAGGTTGCACTGCATGTGACTGCAAAATAAACAGGTTATGCACAAACGATTCTCTCACTGTAGAAATAGTGGACAGATGTAACAATCTCCGCAATACTGTCACAGCGTGTATCTGTAGGTCTGTCACTGGCTCGTCTCACAAGGCAGAGAGGTCCAATCTATCAAATGTGTCGATCCACACTGACTCTGAGACACGTGCACCATCCCTGGACCCCTTTTTTACACTTTGAATTTATATTTTCCTTTGGCGCATTTGAAGTGTAATTGCCACTGACAGCTGCTTAAATCAGGTAGATCACCTGTTCGCCTGTTTATGTGTTGGAAACTTTCTACTTAAATCTGTTCTGTCCGGTACATTTCTGCTGTCGGTCCGCCTGGTGAAGACCGTGCTGTCCTCCTGCTGACAGACAGCTGTTGGAGTCAGTGTTGACCGAATGGATCAAACACTTATAAGTTGTGCATATGCAATGCTCACATCTGCTGAAGTCCCAGTTTGAAGTTAGTAGTGGCTGAAACTCACTTCTTTAAGTAGTAGACTACTAGTAATTTTAGCCCACAATGAGCTGCACTAGCAGGCGATCGAGAGCTGAACTGTGCATGAAGTCCACCACAGACATCGGCAAAGACCAGAAATTCTTCAGAAGAAGTTGGGCTACAAATAAATCATGTACTCAAACGGCAAAGCATGCATGCAATTCATCGGTTTATACTTCAGCTGATATACAGTATGATAACCTGATCAGTGTCATTATCATCATGTTGGCTGCTAAGCTATAGAGCACTACAGTGACAACATAAAAAGAGGCGCAAACTTGTTTCAGACAGGGTTTTCTCATTATTTTGTTCTTATAAATACAGGCTGTGCACATTGGGTGGTAAGAGTGTTTAAAATACTTTATGAAAAATACAGATTTTTTTTTTTTTTTCATCGTAAAACAGGAGGTTGTGCCAACAAATTTGGCACTGGTGCCACCATCGGAGAGACTTGGTGGCACCAGTGCCACCAGTATGAAATGTCTGATTAGTCAGTCTTGCATAAAGATTATGAGACTTCTGCCTTATGAAACTTGCACTAACCAGTGAGTAGTGACTGGTGCATCTATTCTGATTCTGAAACGGAACTAAAGCGACAGTGGTGCGGTGGGTAGAGCAGTCGTTTCCCAACCGGAAGGTTGAAGGTTTGAATCTCGGTGCCTGCAGTCCACATGTCTAAGTGTCCTTGGGCAAGACACCGAACCCCCCTGTTGCCCCCGATGGTTAGAGCCATCAGTTGAGTTGGTGCTGCAGATGGCTGCCTTGGTTCTGTACTGGAAACAAATTCCTTGTGTGTAACATACTTGGCCAATAAAGGTGATTATCCTCCTTATCCTTATAGATACACGTAGTGCAGTACAAGTACAAGATTTGTCTCTGGCATGTAGTGAATTCACAGTATGAAATAGGAGAAAATGGAAATACTCCAGTAAAGTACAAATACTTCTGAATTGTCCTTAAGCACAGTACTTGGCTAAATGTACTTAGATACTTTCCACCACTGGGCAGGACAGTGTGTGTGGGACTGAGTCAAAATAGACTCCAGTGTGTGTGTTCATGGCGAGGAGCAGCCAGTGCAGCAGTGTGGTCACTGATGGGCTGAACGGTTCCTGGACAAAGTGAAGCTCTGTGGCTCAGAGAGGGAGAGAGATCAGGCTGTGATACACACAGTACTCATAAGGAGACATTCAGTGTTTGTTTGGGTCATTTAATGAGGTTTGTTGACAATGAGAAAATTCACTAGCCTTCAGCTTTCTTTCTCTCTTTCCCCTCACCAGTCTGTCGATTTTTGCATAATTTTAAATGCAGCAGAACTTGGCCAAATGCCAGCGTCAGTCTAACAAATCGACCATACGTGTGTGCACCCCCCACAGCTAAGCGTTACTGTAAGACGTCGAGCCCAGCGAGCAGCACGACAAGCAGCTACGCTCCCAGCAGCAGCAGCAGCCTGAGCTGTGTAGGAGGAGGAGGTGGAGGACCAGGGGGTGGTGGAGGGGGTGGAGGAGGAAGCAGCGCCAGCAGCACCTGCAGTAAGAGCAGCTTCGATTACACCCACGACATGGAGGCAGCACACATGGCGGCCACGGCCATCCTCAACCTGTCGACGAGGTGCCGGGAGCTCCCGCACGCTCTGGGAGGGAAACCCCAGGACCTGCTGACACAGGTAATCTGAGGCAGGGCGCACTAACACAGAACACCTGCTCTCATACATCACATTCATATGCAATGGCAGGAGTAGGAAACAACGCTAAGATAGCTGTCGGAACGAGTAGGATTTACTCTGTATGAGATACTAGATAAAGTTTTCAAAATTACATGGTTAATTCAGGTTAATTATGACTGGTCTTGTTTTTGTAATTTTGACAATTGTTTCTATCAGGAGAAATAACCTGTAATTGTTGAGATCTGGCAGCAGAAACTAAGCAGATGTGGAGTGGATGAAGAAACATGAGCAGTCAGTCAGTCAGTCAGTCAGTCAGTCAGTCAGTCAGTCAGTCAGTCAGTCAGTCAGGCCAGTTGTAAACAAATATCCAGGTTAGTAAAACTTATGCTGAAGAAAAAACAAAAGTGAATTGGAAGATTATAAGGATTTTAACCATCTGTCACTGTTCACACACTGACTTGTGGTTCAGCTTTAACCTGCTGTACTTAATATAGATTTTGTACTTCTAATTAGTAGTGGTAGTAGTCTAGAAGTAGTTTAGATCATCAGGATGAACTGTTGGTGTCCATATCTTCCACATGCCCCAGTGTCACAACAGTCATTTTTGTGGATATAGATTTATCATTACTTCCAGAAATGGTGGTCAAAACTACAGAAATAAGATACGATTTGTAAAAAATGATCCTGTGGTGCTTTCATGCTAGCAGTCAACCTGAGTGTGAGAGCACTACAACAAACGTGAACCCATGTTCATTAGCCAGACCTGGAGCTCGTATTGTGAGTGGTTCATAAGAGCCTGACCAGAGCTGAAGGTCTGGTCGGTATGTGAGTTTATGAAAATGTGGCCATCATATATCAGATAGTCTCTTACCATAAACACATAGACAGTCATTTCTGAGAAGAATTGTGATATGTAAAATGTTCCACAGTGACCCTCAGCACTGTACCTCATCAGATTATTTTGTGTCTCGGTTTCATCAGAGTCCGGTTGGTGACCTGGACGACAGCGGCGCTGTGGACGTAGCCAGGCAGCCCGGCGG